TTCATGTCTAAAAGAGCTTGAATCTTCTCTAGGTTGGCTTCAACACCTCATTGATTTACAGAGAACCCTAGGAACTTTCCCAAGCTTACTCCGAAAGCACACTTCAAAGGGTTGAGTTTCATTCTGTATTTTTTGAGGATGTCAAACATTTCCCCCAGGTGCTCAATGTGGCTTTCGATGACCTTTGACTTGATGAGCATGTTGTCGATGTACACCTCCATCGTTTTGCCAATTTGGTCGATGGACATCTTGTACACCAAGCACTGGTAGGTCGTCCCAGCATTCTTAGGCCAAACGACATAACCCTATAACAATAAATCCTCCAATTAGTAATAAAGGAGGTATGCTTTTCATCGGGCTGATACATTGGGATTTGGTTATATCCCGAGTATGCATCCATGAAGCTGAGTGGTGCGTTTCCAACTATCGCATCTACTAACTGGTCGATCCAAGGCAGCAAAAAGTTGTCCTTGAGACATGCTTTATTTGAATATGTGAAATCGATGCAAGTCCGCCACTTATCATTCGACTTCTTAACCAAAATTAGGTTGGCAAGCTAGTCGGGATATTTCACTTCTCTGATGAAGTTGATGTTCAGGAGTTTGTCAACTTCATCTTTGAGCTCTTTAGAGCGCTTTACATCCATAGACATTCTCTTCTGTCTTATTGGTCGAGTTGTTGGGTCGATGTTCAATCTATGACACATTACCTCGAGGCTTATCCCCACCATATTTGCATGTACCCATGCAAACACATCGAGGTTTTTCTTTAGAAACCCCACCAGATTATCAACCATTTCCTTGCTCAGACTACTTCAGTATACAAGTTGGATTTTCCTCGTTGACGCATATTTCTCATAACTTTTCTATTAGCCTTGCTGCAGGTTCTTCTTTATGGATGTGAGGATCTATGGTATCCTCAAGAAGTTCATAGTGCGGCTCAAATTTTGTAATGGTAATTGTCCTCAAGAGCAGTCATTTTAGTGTAGCATTGATGGCCTGGTTGTAACATTCCCGAGATTCTTTTTGCAGCTTCTGATCGTCACGAATCCCCTACGAGTTAAGAACCTCATTGCTTGGCAGCGCACTGAAGTGACTGTGCTCAAATCATCCAAGATCGGTCTTCCAAAGATGACATTGTATGTGGTTAGACAGTTTACCACTAAGAATTCAGACATCACCGTCCTGATTTTGGGCTCTGCCCCTAGAGTCACAGGAAGGTCGATCATTTCCTTAGGGACTAAGCTATCCCTGGTGAATCCATAAAGCGGCGATGGACACGCCCTCAAGTCTCTCTTTGTGAACCTCATTTCTCGGAAAGCTCCCCAAAAAATGATGTTCGTTGCACTCCCATTATCGACCATCACCCTCAGTATTTTGGCATTATCGATCCTGACTACGACTACGATTGCATCATGATTATAGCGAGGGGATTCTTCACATTCTTCGTTTGTGAATCCTACTACCTCGTTCTCTTGTCTAGGCCACTTCGACGGCTTCTATTCACATCTCATTACCTGGGGGACCAAGTTTGTTTTGGCCTCTCGAGCATATTGCTCACGAGCGCACTTTGAGCTCCCCGCTATGTCAAGCCCCCCGTAGATCATGCCTACTAGGACTTCATTATTGGCGTTGGCTGGGGCTTACTGGACCTGGTTATTTTACTCGCCAATATTTTTGCAAGGTGGTGCCTCCTTAACAAATTTCTTTAGGTAGCCCATTCATATCAAGTCTTAGATGGCATCTTTTAAGGTCTGACACTCGTTGGTATTGTGCTTGATGTCCTAGTGGTATCGACAATATTTTTGCCTATCTCTTCTGTCTGGGGCCCCCCTCATTCTTTTTGGAGTAGGCAATCTTTTTGTCTCACAAGAGACTTCATATATGTGGGCTATATCTTGTGTGAGGGAGTGTATTTTACATATCACGGGAAAAGCTGCATGTCCCCGTAGTTAACTGTTTTCTGTCTTTTTTGGACCTGTTCTGGTCTCTATCATTGCGGTCTTGGTCCCTCTGCTTGTTTGATGGGAGATCTTATCGCTTGTCCAGGGCTCTTTGCGACGAGATCCTAGCTAGGGCTACTAGCGAGCTTTCTACTCACTGGTGTTTTGCAGCCATCTGGTAAAACTTTGCCAAGCTCACATGATCCTCACTTTGAAACTCTTTCCATAGCTTTGTTTGTGGCCTGATGCCTACAATTAGCAAAGTTTGGATTGACTCTTCGAGCGCGTCCACGACCTTTGCTTGCTTTTACTAAAACCTCGTTAAATACAAGGTCAATGTTTTGTCTCTTTCCTGACGAATGTTGCTCAAATAGCTGAGCGGCATTGCAAACTGTCTTCTTGCTTAGAACTGTTGGAAGTACAACGAGGATAATTGTTGCCAAGAACTGATAGAGTTTGCCTTGAGTCTTTTGTACCACCTCTTGGCATCCCCTTCCAATGTAACCGTGAAGCAGCGACACTTTGCCAAGTCATAGACCTGGTGCAGCTCCATCAAGTCATTGAAAGTGTCAAGGTGGTCTCTAGGATGTCCTTTCTTGTTGAACTTACTTTTTGGTTCCCTGAACCCTTATGGGAGCGGGGTCTGGCGAACTTCCTCTACGAAGGGAGAGCTCACTATTTCTTCTGCCGCATTGTTCTAGCAAGCTCTTAGGTCATCGAGCATTTTCTACACCCGATCTAAGTCTTCGTTGTGATTGCCGTAGCTGGCTCTGTTCAACCTTACCTCGAGCAAGTAATTTAGTAAGTTTGTTGCTTGTGAGCCCCTTCCATCATGCGTATTGATAAGCAAAGTTGAGTCATGATAGCTAGGTTGATAGGTGCTATCATGCTCATCAGTGCGTTGCTCGCGACGTCGGTTATAACCAAAACGTCGGTCATAACCAAAACTTTGATCATTGCCAGATTGGTGCACATGACTCGTCTCATGAGCTTGTGAGGATCAAGCTTGCCTTGGGCGTGGGTTAAGACAGGCACGTTGACGTTAGGGATATTGCCTAATAGGTTAAGCATCTCATGGGCAACCATTACCTTCACTTTCCCCCATTGATTGTTTTCCTGGTCGCCTCCCAGGGTTAGTTTGCTCGCGGGACTCACGCTTATGAGTGGAATGTACTCTGTGACATCAGAGGTGTCAGTCACCCCTTGGTGTCGATGAGCCAGACTAGTCACTAGTCCAATTTCGACCTGTCAGGGTGATATTGGTGAAGCGTGGTTGGTCAAGGTTTTGTGCGGTTGGTTGCTGATTTCTCAATTCAACCACGTTTTGTTGCACCACCTGTGCAACCATTGTTCTGATTATTTCCAACAATTGGCAGTTCTCAGGGTTGACGTCCCTGCTCCCTAGTTATTCACGGTCTGTTGAGCCGGCGGCACTGGTGGTCGAAGCCCACCGGCATCTTGTTGCACCTTTTGGTGGGTGGTCTCCACATGGTCATGGTTTCCAGTGGTGGTTTTTGATCTTATACGCACCATTAATTGTGGGCCTAGACTAATTAAATCACTAAGGTTGTTTGCTGGAATTTGTGAGATTTTGGTGGAGGCCCTTATTCTAGCTCTAAAATATTGATACAAGATTTTGCACCACCAACTAGAGTGATCCAATCAACCTTGATAAGATCGGAACTGATGTGTGCGTGATTGCGAGTAACCAGCAGTAAGTAAATAATAAAATGCAGTAAAGCAAATGACAAAGAGAATTTTAAAGTGGTTTGGCGAGATGAACTCTTGAGCCTACATTCACTGTTTTTGTATTTGCTGTGAGAGCTTACAATGACAATCCTAGAAATGTTTTCTAACCCCTTTCTCATCGTTAAAAGAGGTTTATACATAGAGTTTGTGCAAAGGAAAGAGCAAAAATAATGGGATTACAATTAAGTTTGAAATGCAACTCCGATATTCTCACGATTAGGCACTTGATTGCGCAAAGATTGTTGTCGATCTGATCCTTCTTGAGATATCTGGGATCTGAACTTGTCTGTGAGTTGGTTGAATGACTACAAGGATTGGTTGCAACTAGCTTGTGCTAGGTATAACTCGGCGAGCTTATGCTGGGTTAGTCAATCAATAGAGTCAAACTAGTTCTGGATCGGGCTATAATCTCATAATAATCCGAGCTTGGTAGAAAAATCACACACAATATATCCAGTCTCATACTTCACCAAACACAAGACAGTACTATTCTAATATAATCCTAATCACAAAACCTAATTCAATCCAATCCTCCCTCTCAAACTCAGCCTAAGTATTGTCCTTTATTGTTTACTGATGATAAAAAAACTATTAACCAATATCAGTAAATGTACTTTAGAATAACATAAATACACAAATTTTGTATATACAAACTGATGTAATATTTTCTTTTAATATTACTTTTTTGATCTTCGTTTATTCAATATTTGTTGATCATTGGTCAATATTTTATACGCACTATTTTCTTTTATACAATTGGTAAAATACGTTAATTTATATACAGAAACTTATATACAAGCTTTGTATGTGTAAGAACATTTATAAACAATATGATTAGATTTTGGACTTGGAAGAAACATTAATCGACAAAGAGATGAAAATTTTGGACAGAAAAAGCATCTCTTAAGACACAATTAAGAGCACAAAGGTAGTGGAATTAATGCTCCACTCTCTCTATATACATATTGACCCACATTAAGAGATCATGACACATGACAATCAAGATGATGATGATGATGATCATCATCATCATCATGTTTCATGCTTCATGAATTAATGGCTAGCATTTTATTTGGTGACACGCACTATTGTTTCTGAGTGGGAAGAGATAAAATTAATTTAAAATTTTGATCTTCTGGTACCCATGGCTACCAAGTTATTGTGTGGGATCTAAATTTTGAGCATTAATGGGGCCATGCCACTACAGCTGAGTCAACTTGAGAAAGAGAGAAAAAGATAAAATCGTCAAAACATCAAAACATTATAAATATGAGGCTATCCCACTTGTTACTTTGTCTCAAATTCACAAAAGAAGATTCAATTCAACTCTCTCTTGCTATACAAAAGTAGAGAGGCTGAGTCTCCCTCTTTTATATTTTTAGTGTTTTGGGTAGCTTAAAAAGTATTCATATGGATAGTGTGGAGAAGACAAGAAGGAAGTTGAAAGGAGATTCCAATAATTTGGGTGAAAGTTTTGAAGAAATTTCTGTTGATTGGAGAGGCAGACCATGCAAACTTAACAAACATGGCGGCATGGCTTCTGCCATTTTTGTTCTTGGTCTTTCCCTCTCTCTCTCTATCTCTTTCTCTTTTCCTCTATACATAGTTTGCATGCTCATTTTTGTTTATCTCTATATTTATCACTAGTTTGAAAATTTTAAATTTTATTATTTTCTGAATTTCGTCCCTATTTACTTGAAATCCTGGTTCCGCCGCTTCTAACATCCTTGCATTAAATCGATTTACAGGACTTCAAGCCTTTGAGATGATGGCAATTGCTGCAGTGGGAAACAATCTCATAACATATGTGTTCAATGAGATGCATTTCCCTTTGTCAAAATCTGCAAACATAGTCACAAATTTTATTGGAACTGTCTTTCTCCTCTCTCTGTTTGGTGGCTTCCTTTCGGATTCTTATCTCGGTAGCTTTTGGACAATGCTCATCTTCGGCTTTGTCGAGCTGTCTGTAAGCACCATCTCTCTTTGTGTGTAAACATTCAAATCTCTACAAGAAAATACTTTATGTCAGAAGAAATTTCTTGTCGCAAAGCTTTAATTATCAATTCATTTTACATGTTATAGGGTTTCATATTACTATCAATTCAAGCTCATCTCCCTCAATTGAGGCCTCCTCAATGCAACATGGTGACAGAAAGCAAATTTTGCGAGGAAGCAAAAGGCTACAAGAGTTTGATATTTTATGTAGCACTCTATTTAGTGGCATTGGGAAGTGGGTGTTTGAAGCCAAATATAATTTCTCATGGAGCGGATCAATTCAAGGAGGAATCAAAGAAGCTCTCAACTTATTTCAATGTTGCCTATTTTGCATTTTGCATGGGGGAGCTTGTTGCTTTAACTGTTCTTGTTTGGGTTCAAACACATTCAGGAATGGATGTTGGATTTGGAGTCTCGGCAGCCGCCATGGCTGTGGGATTAATCAGCTTGATTTCTGGCACCTTTGTTTATAGGAATAAGTCTCCTCGTGGGAGTATTTTCACCCCAATTGCTCAAGTAATTAACTATTTCTCTCACTAATTTTCTCTTTTAATTATATATCTTGACTTGGGTTCTTTCTTTCTTGCCGTATTCACATCGATACAAAAGAAGTACGAAATTCACAGATGGTTTATTAATAATATTTACATACCAGAGATGCGTTTAATATAAAACCTGAAACTATAAACGAACAGAGTTTCATAATATTTTTATTGATATCAATATTAATTAATTTAATTAAAATATATTTTTATATATAGAATTGCCTTGAGGTTTCTATGAAAAGTGGAAGGACACTAATAAAAATTGTGAAAAGTAAAAAATCAAAAAAATAAAAAATTATTTTTCTTTCTTTTTAAAATTACAAAAGCTTCTCTTCCTCCATCTTTATGCCGACCATATATGAGATAGTCTTTTTGCCTTTCTTTTCAGTATGCCATTTTAATGTTGTCTGATTATTTTGTGGGAATGTTTATTTTTGTGTACATGAATAAAACTTCTGTCTGTTGGTTCATTCTGGGGCATTAACAAGTAGCTAGCTCCAATAACCCTTCAATAATTTAATAGGGGAAGTGTTTGAATTGGCTAAACACCAAATTATTCTTAGTTCCTTTTGAATTTTATATAATAATAACCATTTGCGTATTTTTTTAATAGAATATATTTGCTTTAACTTTATGTTTAATTATTTATTTCTATTATTTATTTTATTTTATCAGGTTTTTGTTGCTGCAATTACAAAAAGAAAGCAAATTTGCCCTTCAAATATAGAGATGCTCCATGGAAGCCACGATATTTCTCAGAATCACATTTTAGCTACATCACCAAACGTCAGAAGCCTCCTCCATACAGAAAAGTTCAGGTCGGTCATTAAAATTAAAATAAATTGATAACAGATTATGCCCAAATAATAATAATAATAATCTTCAAGTGCTCTCAAAATTTTGAAAATTGTGAAGTATGATGATTATGTTGGCTTTTGTTGGAGATCCGCTTACCCTACTTGGATCAATTTTTAAAGGGATCTTGCAATAATTGTTTCACATATTTTTCTCCAATTACATATACATAAAAAAAAAAAAATCAAAATGATTATATTTTCGTAATTAATAACCATGTATATATTTATAACACATAACGCTATTTATAAATTTCTAATTATAACACTTATAACATGAAATGTTATTATAGATTTCTAATTGTGACAATATGAATCGTTGTTATAGATTTCTAATTGTGACAATATGAATTGTTATTGTAGATTTTTGGACAAGGCATGCATAAAAGTGCAAGATGGAACAAGGGAGAGTCCATGGAACCTATGCACAATGGCACAAGTTGAGCAAGTGAAGATAATAATCTCATTGATTCCCATATTTGCTTGCACAATAATTTTCAACACCATTTTAGCACAGCTTCAAACTTTCTCAGTTCAACAAGGAAGTGCCATGAACACAAGAATCACAAATTCCTTTCACATCCCTCCTGCTTCTCTTCAAGCCATTCCTTACATTTTGCTAATTTTCGTTGTCCCTCTCTATGAAACCGTCTTCGTTCCAATCGCGAGAAAACTCACCAAGAGAGACTCAGGGATCTCTCCTCTTCAAAGGGTTGGAATTGGACTGTTTATTGCGACATTTTCAATGGTTGCAGCTGCATTAGTAGAGAGAAACAGAAGAATTTCAGCCACACGCTTCAATGAAATTCTTTCAATCTTTTGGATTGCTCCACAATTTCTCATCTTTGGACTCTCAGAAATGTTCACAGCTGTTGGTCTCATTGAGTTCTTCTACAAGCAATCGTTAGAAGGGATGCAATTGCAATCTTTTTTGACTGCCATGACTTATTGCTCGTACTCATTTGGGTTCTATTTGAGCTCAATTCTTGTTTCTTTAGTCAACAAAATTACCTCAAGCTCTTCTCAAAGTGGGTGGCTAAGTGAGAATGACCTCAACAAGGATAAGCTAGACTTATTTTATTGGCTTTTGGCTGCCCTTAGTCTCATCAATTTTTTCAATTATCTCTTTTGGTCAAGATGGTACTCTTTTAATCCATCTTTATCACTCAACACTACTACTTCTACATCTACAAGAACTCCACATCAATCTCATGGAGAAGACTTAGAAAACCAAAAGCTTCAAGCGCTAGAACGATCTTAAAGTCGATTAGTTAACAATTATGAAAAAGCAAACCCTAGATAGGTTGAATAAATTACATTAATGTAAGCTTAGGCCCACTTAGTGCTATGTAATATCGAGATAACCCTAGTGTTTATGTTCACTTTCTTTTTGTTTTTATAAATAATTGACTATGTAAAGGAGGACCATAGTGTGAAAGGGTCCCCGAGTAATTGTGTGCTTTAGTTGTTTTCCAAGATTCTATAAGTTAGGTCTAATTCCATCAAGCAAACAAGATTCAATGAACTCTCTATCTTCTTCTCTCCTATCTAGCAATTCATTATTGTTATATTTACCCTTCCATCCTCAAAGTTTGGGGTATCTTTAGCTTGCCCCAGTACTGTGGGATAAAAACACTTTAGTCCTTTTAGATGATTGACATTAGTGTTGTTGGCTCATTTTCTTAACACCATAAAGGTAAATATGACACCTTGACAGAATGTACACTTCAAAAACCCCTTATGGTGTTAAGAAAGTATGCCAACAACATTAACTTCAATCATCAAACAGAATTGAACTGTTTGCATCCATAGTATTGGAGTAAAGTACAACAAACTGTTTGCATCCATAGTATTGGAGTAAAGTACAACAAACCCCAAACCTCAGAGATGAAATCAAAATATCACTATTTCAATGGAGATTTGCAACTGTAGCTAGGGCCTCTTCATATTTTCTTCTTTTTGGTGCAAAAAGAGGAAGATATGTGTTAGTGAATGGTGGGGTTGTGCTTTGTGCTATAGCTTTTATCAATGTAGTTGAAAGAAAATGTAAATCTTTTGATAGCACATCTAAAATATTGCGACAAGAATCACAAGCTATTGTTTCATCTTATTGGCTCTGACTCTATGCACCATGTGAGTAAAGTAAAAATCAATAGTGGAATAGGTCAAAAATGAAAACCACTTTAGCCCAATATTTCTTGAGTGTGTTGAAAAAATGTTTCCACATCTTGTTTGTTTCTCAAATGCTTTTTACCTTCACTAACAAACATGTCACATACATGTTTTCTGCTTTTTCTTGTCCCATTGCATGTTCATGCAATTATATATATATATAAAAAAAATGAAAAATTCTACAAGTAATTGTATGTTTAGAAATATATAAGTGTAGAGATACTTTTGTATCTATAATTGTTTTTTTGTAAATCTTATAGCTAGTGTTAGTAAACAATTTATGGGTTTTATTAACACTAAAAGACAAATTTTGAGAAAAAAAATTGCACTAAAAAAAAAAACTGTTAATGTTTATTGACATAAACTAACAGAGTCCAAATTAAAATAAAAATAATTAGAACTTGCACTTGAAAAATATTTACGTGTATGCATATATAGTTTATTCTTTATTATGAACATCGACATTTAAAAAAAAAATGCATACTTAGTTAACCAATCCAAGTTAATAGTTTATTGTCATCACTAAATGCTGAAACACAAAATTTTTATGAAATTTTTTTATATCAAAAATTGTAAAATTGTATCTTCTAACATTAATAAGAAAACAGTAGTTTAAATTTTAAAAATATAATTATCTTTATCACATAGTAAAAATATAATCTTCTATGACACTATTAATAGTGGACAATCTGCGAGTGATTTTCATCATAATTTCCAATGTTCCATCCATAGTATTGCTAAATGGTCCCATAAGCACCAAACTTTTGCAACATAATTGGCCCCATGCTCTACTTTCCATCTAAGAAGTCAAGAACTAGATAATACATGGATTAAACACCAACCATAAGTATATTAATTGTAGCAAATTAATAATTAATCAACCATAAATTGTCCACAATTAAATGACTTTTTTTTTTTAACCAATGTATCCGAGTCAGCTTACGTACGCGCATTTCGACTAATCCTCAAGAGAGACTGGCACATCAACCCACTGCCACGTCCCCTAATTTAAATCGTGAGAGTTAAAGGATTTAAACTTGAGAGCGTATATTTTAACCACACATCTTAACACTTATCCTACCACTTGAGCTAGCCAGGTGGGTCACAATTAAACGACTTAATTGATGAAAAGGATGTTCACAAGAAACTTAATTTATTTTATGTTTCCAACCAAAAGATTAAAGGTTGATTTGAAAGCTAGAGACTTTACAAAGCCTAGCTACTAGATGAACATTCTAAATCATATTATATAGAGTGACTAATATTTTCCCACCCAAACTTTTGTGAAATTACACTTTCCACCCTTGGTTTTGGAAACTAATAACATCCCACCTTTTGTTAATCTCTATCCAACTTTGGTTGATGAATAACAATTGTATCCTTATAAATAAAAATAATTATTATTAAATCTAAAAATCCTATATAAAAAATAAATATATCTCCTAAAATAAAACAAATAACACTTAAACCGAAAAAAACGTTAATACAAAGCTCGACTCGTTTATTAATCTCTTCTTTGAGATTTTGTTTGTTGTTTTGATTAGTTTATTGAGTGAGGTAGTCGATCTCTAATGTGAACGTCCTACAATGTTAAACTTTTGAATTAAATGTGAACGTCCAATCACTAACAATACAAACTCTAAATCAAATACTAATGATCAGACACTCACTTTTGATCTGCACATAAAAAATTTAAAACGTTCACACTCGATAATTTTTGTACAATTAGGTTATATCAACTTTAATTTTTAATTCAAAATTATTTTACTGATCCATAATCATTTATGAATTTCAATCTAATGATACAAAATCTCTTTTAGCTTATCTTTCACAACCATTTGATTATAGTTTCTCTCGTGTTCATCTTGATCTCAACACATTCAAACTAAAAGTAGTTTCTACCTTATAATCAAAGACATCTAACAAAAATTAATCAAATTAAATCAATTAATTTCTATTTCTTTTCATTATAGTTAATTAATTATGTCAACGTTAGGTTTAATTAATTATATCAAATTAAATTAATTAATTAACCAAAATATTAAGTTTAGGCCTTGAGTAGCATTATGCACTTGGGCTCAGCTACTGCGGCTCTTGTTTAAGAATGTGGGCCACATATTATTTTAGTCAATGGGCTGGGCCATCTGGCTACTGTATTGATTGGACAAGGTTATAATGGGAAGTGAATTTTTAGCCCGCATGAAATTGATCCTTTATCTCTGATTGCTAAATAGGCCTCTATTATATTTTAAAAAATTCTCTTTAAACCCCATTTAATATCAAAAATAGCTATGCTTAATTAGATTTAATTATGGTTTTCATTTATACATATTTTTCCGAATTTCATATATGAAAATTTTTTTTTTCTTCAAATTCATATTCATCATGCTATGTGATTATTTTTTCTATAGCTTTAGTAATATATTTTTATCGAACAAAGAATTATTTAAAATAAAAAAATCAATGATTTAGAATTTAGATTTAGGGTTTATGTAATAATTAAAGGTTAAAAATTAAAACAAAAATAAAAAAAATAAGTGTATTTATAAATTATTATGTCATAAAGGTTAAACTTGTAAAAACAAAAATACATTTAAAAAATGGAGGATAATGATCAATTTGATGGAGCCTAAAAATTACTTCCCGACTATAATCCGTAAAACTTCTTTTTTAACACTAAAATTCAAAAATTTTGAAATTATTACTTCAAAAAAAAAAAAAAAAAAGAGGAAATTATAACATTAACCCTGAGCCTTAACAAATGCCTATGTATGCCTATGCGCTATGGCTATGACTATTATAAAGGGGTGCACAAGTGGCGTTGGGCTTGGGTGAGGCATGAACATGATGGAGGCGAGATGTATCCTATCACATCTTTTTTATTTACTGGGCGGCCTTTTCGGCCCAACACCTTTTTGGGCTAAAAACCATAAAATCCCCAAATTTGGGGTGGGCTGGGATGGGGATGGGAATCATCGCATCCCCGTGGGCTAGGGGTGGGGATTCCCCGACATCCCTGTCCCCAGGACGAGCCAGGCTCAAGGAATCCCCTTAGGGGTCGGGCTGGGCCTGGTTCCTAGTCCCACCCTTGCCTACATCCATCCCCAAATATGTTATTAAAGTGACCATAGACTTATCCAAAATTTTGATCTAGAATGGGCAAAATTTATACTATAAAATAATTTGTAAAAAAAAAAAAAAAAATTAGTAATATTTTCTCTATAATATTTTATTAAGTTTTTCTGTTTTAATAATACTACATATCTCAAATAAATATTTCAGTTTTTTTCTATTTTAAGTAGCGTTTTCCTATATAAAAATAATATGTAAACAATATGTTGATGGACAAATGATATGGATTAATCATATAAATCGACACATTTCAAATGAAAATTTTATACTATTACTAGCATTACTATTTTGTTTAAGAATAAAAAAAAATAATAATGATCTATAGAATCGAAAGGATAAAAAGTTTTCTAAAACAAATAGGGACAATTCCCATACACAGAACGGTGAGTTTTGGTTTAAGGCTTTTTTGAAAATTTTCAAACAAATCAAATGCTATTTTCAATATTACTTAAAACGAGGGTATTTTTTGAAATACGTATCAAAGTTTTCAAAAAATACAAGACCTTAGCTCGTCAGTAAAGTAACCTCTTTATCAACTATTACGTCACGGTCAAACCAAATCCCAATGAAGCTTCTTAGAAAGAAGCTAAATGGGAAATAATAGCTGAAGGTGATAAGGATGAACAAGGACAGGTGCTAAATTTTGTGCGTTAAATTGTGTGCATCTGTGGACTTGTGAGAAGGATTAAAGAGAGTCAACACGTTTATGTTGATGATGATGAGGAAGATGAAAAAGGACGAGTGAAGACTTAAAAAAAGATGAGAAGTGGGCAAATCTCGTCCCAATTTTGGTATCTTATTCATATATTTATTAATTTACACAATAATACAGCTGGGTTTACGTGTTCCATCATTGATGTGATTCACGAACCTTTCATATTATGCCTTATTATTTAGTATAAAATGACCAAATTATCCTCCACCTTGTTTCTATTATTAGTCTTATTCTAAATGTTTTAATCAACTTCTAATTAAGTTTTTAAGCCCTTAAGTCTAACATACCACCTTTATGTCAAAAATGGATCCGTTTTTAAGGTGTAACAAATCTGACAAGAAATCGACATAATGAGTGGTATGTAAAAGATGAGACCTTTGATTCTAATATTATGTTAAGTTACTATATGATCTAAAAGTTTAAGCTATTAGATAAAAATCCAACATGCTTTAATTATCTAACAAAAGCTTACGGAACATCATATACTGTATGTATTATATACTAATGTTTTACTAATTTTACAAACTAGAGTAATTACGTTATGATAAAATTTAATGTCACTATCTAATAATTTATTCCATCTATACCTTCTAATCTCTGTAGTAGTCCACCTTTTCTACACCATCAAATCATGAGCCAAGGTTACTAAATAGTAACATAGATTGATGTTCACCAAAAACCCACCATATAATTACATTACATAAAAATAATCATACTCAATTTTCTCCAAAATCAACAAGGGCAATATCGTCATTTCTCATCCTGTCCCATTCACATTGTACTTGACATTGTCCTTTTCAATTCAAAACTCTCCAATGGTACAAACTTTGCCAGCTATCTTCTCTTCACATCCCAAAAACATTCTCCCCGTATATAAAGTCCCCGAACCCCCCACTCTCCCTATGCACATTCACTCTTTTTCTCTCACGCCGGCATTTCTGCAAACACTTCACAATCACCCTCTTTTTCATGCCTTCAAACCCAGACCAGAACCCGGATCAAACCAAACCCGGTTCCAAAAACCGGAAAGGGAAAAACGACACCCAGTTCCGTGGAGTTCGTAAACGGAGATGGGGCAGCTACGTTTCTGAGATAAGGCTTCCGGGTCAGAAGACCCGGATATGGCTCGGGTCATTCGGGTCGGCGGAGATGGCGGCTCGGGCTTATGACTCTGCGGCTTTCTTCTTGAAGGGAAACGCTGCGAGTTTGAACTTCCCTGACTTGGTTGAGTCCTTGCCCAGACCACAGTCTTGTTCGAGGAGGGATATTCAGGTGGCGGCGGCGAAAGCGGCGGTTCAGGAAGTGACGGCGAGTCGGGTGGAGGATGATGGATGTAGTGGGTCGTCGGGGTGTGGGTCGGAGAGTGATAAGTATTGGGAGTATGTGGAAACGGCGTCGTTTGAGGAAGTGAAAATGGGTTCACGCGTGAGTCAAACGAGGTTTGACTCGGTTATTGAGGAGTTGCAAAGTTTAATGGATTGGCCCGATTGGGATAATGAGTTTTTGATGGGTTCTTCTTCAGAAGGCTTTTATTATTAGGTTTTATTTTTTTTTAAATGTTAATATAATATGGAGTTCCACAAAGATATGGAATAAAGTTTTGTAATATACAATTGTAAATTTATCATGTATACAAATGTAAAGTTTATCATGTATTCAAATTAACGTATATCTTTTAGATTAAATTATTAAAAATTGTTTTTTTAATCAAAATAAGAAATATTTAAGTTTATTTTGTTATATATATAACTATTAGTTTATATTCAGTCACCCCACACTTCAAATCGTAGTTCCACCCTATTGTTATATGGTATGTCCTGATTGAATAAATAATCATTATGTGACATATCATCACTATATAACTACATAACAAATGATATTCATGGATTGTTTTCCAATTTATAATAAATGATATTAAAATAAAATAAAACAATTTTAAAGTTTCATGTGATTCTAAATTTTTTATATTATAATATTTAATTTATATTAAATCAAAATTCGCATATTCTATGCTATAAAAAGGGATTTCGTATTTGATAGTCTTTACTTAAAATCGAAACTCCTCAATCAAATATTATAAATGAATGCATCGATCATGGATTATTTCTTCAAGAATCAATTACAGGATTCACACCCTCCTCCAATAGAGCCTTCTATTTTAACTACATCTATGGTCAAAGATATAGCCATTGTTAACAGTTAGATGTGGCTAGATTTGTCTGTTAATGGTCAGATCTTTGGTCGTAAATTTGATCTTTTTTTACCAGATCCACAATGGATCTAGCTAAAAAAGTCTAAATCTGATCAGTCGTGCGCCATTCCGACAGATTCCGACTACCTTCAATAGTAGTGGTAAGCTGTTGGTAATATATGGGTGAATAAGGGTGTTTTTGCCAATTTATACTCATAATCCTAATAAGAGTCACTGAATAGCATTAGACAGAGTTGCTAGATATTTGAAGGGCACCATTGGTTATGGGCTAACGTTTGGAAGTACACCACCTGTATTAGAAGGATATTCCGATGCCAATTGGATATTAGAGTTAGATGAAATAAAATCCACAAGTGGTTATATCTTTACACTTAGTGGAGGTGCAGGGTCATGGAAGTCTTCCAAACAAAATTGCATAGCTCGGTCTACCATGGAGTCTGAGCTTATCACCTTAGAAAAGGCATGTTCTAAAGTTGACTTGTTAAGGAATTTCTTAGCAGATCTTCCCATTGAAACTTACCCTCCTGTTTCAGTATCAATCCATTGTGATTATCAGGCCGCAATAGCAAGAGCAAAGAGCAAAATTTATATTGGGAAAAGCAGACATATCTGGATAAGACATACCATTATAAAGCAGCTGCTAGAATCTGGGGTAATGAGCCTAGATTTTGTGAAGTCAAAGTTAAATTTGGCCGATTCTTTGACTAAACCACTAAGTAGGAGGTCAGTGGAATATACGTCGAGGGGGATGGGACTTATGCCTAAAGCATAAGGCAAGAGTGATGGTAACCCTACCTATGTGATAGGAGATCCCAGGAAGTAAGTTCATAAGGGTAATAACAAGTCACTTATTGTCTTGATAAGTATTATCGAATTTTATATAGAAAGTCCTCCCTATGGCGAGATAATATTGATTGCAGTGAATAAGGTTGAGTAGAATTAATCTTAATGAAATCTAGAGCCAATATAAATGGTGGTGTGAAAAACTGCAATTCACACCTCATGGAGGTTCACCTATGTGAGTATAGAATTAGGTCGATTCCTATGAGAGCTTAGGCAGACATCTCTAGAGTACTCATGAAATCCAGGCTAGCACAGGGCCATAAAGTGCTAAGTCACAGAACAGTATACAATGTAGAGAATTTAGTGTGAGGAACTAATCCTTTGAATTACATAAAGAAATTTTTGGTTCATAGAAACTTAGTTTTACCAAATTTCTATAACTTACGTTTAGTTACTCAATAATTGGTTCATAGTCTGAAAGACACCAACTCATAAATATTAAATTCTATAATCAGTGGTGATTGGTTATTTTGAAATATGTAAGGGATTGTGAAAATAGTTACTGTTATGGTATTTCAAAACACCAAGTTTTAATTGTTTTTGGACTGTTATGTGTTAAAAGCAATTGAATATTTTAATTGCTTTTTGGACTGTTATGTATTAAAAGCAATTGAATTGCTGCAGTTATTGCAATTCAAATCATTCTTGGGCGTTATGGTTTTAAAAGCAATTGATTGACTTCGGTTATAGCAAGAATGAGTTAAGGAAAAACGGGCAGATTTTCAAGTACAAAAATGGTTGGTGGTTTTTTCATTTGAAGAACACAATTTTCACTTGAAAAATCCTTGTTTCCTCTATGTTTTTTAACTTCTAGCTCTCCTTCACCACTGTTACTTTTCCTTATACTGTTCTAAATATCTCTTAGAGAGTGCACTCTAAAAAGAGATTCGTCATTGTATCCTGAAGGTCAGTCCGCTGTTGAGTCTTTTTGCACCATGAAGATTCTTCTAGTAGGGGCGGAATTCTGATCTTAAGGACAATGCTTTTGCACGCCTTGACGCTGCTGTATCGTTACTGTTTTGCTGCTGTTTTCCTGCTATTCTCACTGCTGTTTTTCCTACTGTTCTCACTGCTGTTTTCCTGCTGTTTTACTGCTGTTCTTCTGCTGTTTTGTTGCTGTTCTCACTGCTGTTTTGTTACTGTTCTTCCACTGTTTTGCTGCTGCTGTTTTGTTGCTGTTCTTCTACTGTTTTGCTGTTGCTGTTTCTTGCTTATTGGTATTAAAATTTCAACAATTGAATAAATATACATATATTTCATCATTATGTGAGGTATCGTAATTATATAAATATATAACAAATGATATTCATGGATGGTTTTCCGAATTTTAAATGATTTTAAAATTTTTTTTTTATTAAAATGAAAAATAAAACAATTTAAAGTTTTATACGCTTCTAAAATTTCTACATTATAATATTTAATTTATATTTAATTATAATTAGCATATTCTATGCTATAAAAAAGGATGTCATATTTGATAGTCTTTACGTAAAATTGAAACTCCTCAATCAAATTAAGGTATATGCTTTAGATTAAATTATTAAATTTTTTTATCAAAATAAAAAATATTTAAGTTTTTGATATTTTAAATTTTTATTTTGTTATATATATATATATATATAACAAATGATATTCATGGATGGTTTTCCAATCTATAATTAATGATTTTTAAATTTTTTTTCTTTTTTTATCAAAATTAAAAATAAAACAATTTTAAAGTTTTATATGCTTCTAAAATTTTTATATTATAATATTTAATTAAAATTCGCATATTCAATGCTATAAAAGAGGATCTCATATTTGATAGTCTTTACTTAAAATTGAAACTCCTCAATCAAACATTTACAGGATTCACACCCTCCTCCTCCAATGGAGCCTTCTATTTTGATCAGATTAACAGAAAAGGTAATGGTACTTTCAATCAAATCATTAAATTTACTTGTTTTAATTAGTTTTAATTAAATTATTTTATTTTAATTAATTTGTATTAATGTTTTTATGTTTTTTTCTCTAGTGGGCTGATATGGTTATGGCGTCTCTATTGTGTTTAATCGAGTGGGTTTACCTCCTCCTTGACTCTCCGATGATAATATTCATATTATTTCGATCATCTTCTGTGATATTAATCTTCTTATTATTCTTCAACTTGAGAAAGATGTCCAAATATTCTTCATTTCGTAAAGTAATTTCTTGTTATTGTTTTTATTTGCAATAAATATTCTTCGATTCAAAAGGTAATTTATTTGAGAAAAAAAAAAAAATTTAACTGATTTTTTGCATATTTAATACAATTGAGATTAAATAATATCCTTATTCTCGAGATGATTTCATTCAACGTATATATCCTCAACCACGAATACAGTAGTTATATAGCAAACTAAACTCTAAATCCTATTTTTTTTTCTTTTTACATATATACAATTTTCAAAGCATATTCAATTAAATTGAGATTGAAAGATATCCTTGTTCCTGAGGTTATTTCACTCAACATATATAATAAACAAAATCCTAAATCCTAAATCCTAAATTCTCGACCATGAACAAATATAAAAACTAAACCCTAAAGTAATTTTTTTTTTTTTTTAATAATTCCACCTTTTTATCTTTTTAGACCGCTTTTGTAATTTTCTTTTTTTGTAATTGTTATTCTATATTATAAAATTTTATTTTAAATTAATTTCTCTAATGCATCTTTTATCCATTTTGGTTCGAATTGCTTTTTTTTTTTAATTGCTATAACAAAATAAATGTGGTATTGTTTTTCACAAGCAAAGCTAAAAAAATCAATTCCTACACACAATAGTAGTATTAGTTGATGAATAACTTACATCATCATGTAGATATTAATATGTTAAAAATTTTCAAAATTACTTATAGTGTCGAACGAAAAAATATTTGATTAGTAAAAAAAAAAAAAAAAAAGGAAATTCATCAATATTTCATTTTCTAATCAAATTAATTGGAGTTATATTCAATAATTTGATAGTTGTATTGTATAAGTTGTATTTGGTTTAATCTCAAAATTAGATTTTATTAAACAAAATATAATTTATTTTATTTAAATCTTAAAAAAAAAAAAGAATAAAGATTAATAAAGTACAAGAAAAGTAATTGTTAAAATTTTAATAAAAAAGGTTTATTTACATATTTTAATAATTAAAAATTTTTTAATTGGGTTTTTTAGAAACAGGGTCAAATTAGAAAAAAATTGGGGGACAAATAGTATCGCTCTTTAAATATTTGGAGAATTTTGTATTATCCATGCATTGATTCGGGTTATTTTTCAGAAGAGGAAGCGAGAATCAAAGACTCATGGCATTCCGAAAGGCATGTATCGGTATAATTTTATATTAATTGTTTTTAAAAAATAGATTTTTATTTTATGTTAACCATTATTTATTTATTTATTTTGCTCTAGATTCATTATCTACTATGGGTATGGGGATCTATTGCTTGCTATGTCATTGGCTATTGCTCGTGGATTTGTGGAATTACTAAAGCCATATTTAATCGTTGACAGACTTTCAAGTTCAAACTCGGGTTTGTGGAACTATCAAAACTATATTTAACCGATAGGAGGGTTCGACAGGGGCTTTTGAACTCGAGTTTGGGAAGCAAGTGCGAAAATAA